TGTCTGGAGCATCCGTCACCCAACTACTCCAAAATCTTACTCACCATCTCCTTTCTGATCTTCGGTGCTCGTTTTTGGCAAAGATCCAAAAGAAAATTGTAGTCCACCAGAAGGTGCCGCGCTATTTGTAGTGGAACTTCCAAACGATGGGAACGACAAGGGCCTGAATGATATTTTCTCGATTTTTCAAAACTAATACTGCATAGGGCACGACAGGAATCATCAAATGGCTTGGGATTCATCTTGGACGCATTATAAACCGGCGCAACTCCTCAATCACGCAATAATTCCTGCCACGTGCGAAACAACCTTACTAGCGAAACAAGAACCAACTAACTTTTTCTCATCATCCTTCTTGTCGCCCTTTGCATTCCCGAAAGAAGGAAACGATAGCGCAGGTCTAAAAACAACATGCTCGTTTCAAGCTATCATGAAAAACGAAACAGAACATACTTTTTCTCTGAAGTGTCACCCTCCTGCTTCGAGCCAAAAGTCGGGAACGTTGGAGACCTGAGAAGAACATTTTATACAAAAGGAATGAAGAACACAAGAAGGAAGTAACGCCTACTTTTTCGCAGAACTGTCATCATCCTTTTTCGAACCGAAAGTTGGGAACGACAACGGTGGCCTGCAATGAGCAAGATTCAGGAACCACGGCAACTTATCTCCTCTTGTCTTTAGTGTTGTGCTAGGTCTTCTCAAAGCCTCAGAACGGCTATATGCGTCCTTTTGAGAGAGTATAGACGTGCTGCCAGAGACCCCTCACCCCCACTAACCTGCATCGAGTATAAAAGCGTAACTGAATGAAATTAACAAAGCTTACTTTTTTCCAGAATTATCGCCATCTTTCTTGCTCGCGTCAGAGGAATCATTCGACGCTTTGGATCTAAAGAATAGAACTGAATAAAAAGAAGACTAAAAATGACGTGAATGGCTTTGAGAGACTCTATCGCTATCGGTTGAAACCAAAAAAACTTACTTCTCATCCTTCGATGCTCCGAAAGTTAGTGGTTTTCCATTCCCGAATGATACAGGTGGAACCTTCCTGCAAATACAAAAAGTCGAGTAAAATCGTGGCACTATTTACCCTTTACTGCCCCAACCATCCAGAATTGAGCCAGTTTCTGACCGACTTTTTTCTCCGTGGACAGATTTGGCTCAAATGTTGTCTCCTGGGGTATTTGACCTCCTGAATACGAATATGACATTCGCTTAGCCCGAAACCTCTTGGCGCCCGCGCCACACGCGCCGGTGATCTGGGGTATTTTGGCGCCAGCACCTGTAGCGCGGGCGGCAGGAGGTTTCAGGCCGAGCGGATGTGATATTCGTGTTCAGGAGGTCAGACTACCCCTGAGAACAAGTTTTCAGCGAATTTGGTAATTAAGGTATTTTGGCGCCGGCGCCTGTGGCGCGGGCGCCAGGAGGTTTCGTGCCTAGCGGATGTGATATTCATGTTCAGGAGGTCAAACTACCCCAGGGTACAAATTTTCAGCCAATTCTGCCAAGGCAGAAAAAAGTCGGTCAAAAACTGGCCTGTTTTCGGAAGATTGGGGCAGTAAATGGTAAATAGTGCCAAATCCGTAAAACAACATCGACTGCTTGGACGGTATTCGCTTTTGTAAGGCGTGTTTTTTAAGATTCTTGCGCAAAACTGGTATCACTGCAATGCTCAAATCCTTTTTTACTCACCACGTTACCTTTTGCCTCTTAATCTTGAAAAATCTTCATGTTCTTCAGTCCGCGTTCACACTTCTCGTCGACACTTTGGGTGAAAGAGAGAGAGAGGAGAGAGAGAGAGAGAGAAGAGAGAGAGAGAAAGAAAGAGAGAGAGCATAGATCCGATCGATGCGATCCTACGTTATGATTCAACTGTCCCCCCCCCTTCCCCCTCTCCCTCGCGGGCAGCGACCCTGCTCGAATTTCACCAACTTGTAGTGGGGTGGAAACATCTCAAAACAACAAAAGGGAGATACTTCTCTCCAAACAAAAAAAAAATATTGCGAACTTTCGGCTTGGAACTCACAGAAAGTTGTTATCCTGCTCTGCAGAACCCGTTATCTTTGATGAGCCAAAGGAGAATGTTGGTTTCGATGTACTGAATGACGTACTAACAACATGAAAATTAATAGAAAACTCGATATAGCGTACTCTTTAATGTCCGAATCCTTTTTTTGGCTTGACCAGAATCCCGGAGTTGGCTTTGGAAGAGTGGTAGTTGGAAGGATTGCTGCCGAAGGGGACACTGCTAAAAATTACTTGTGAGCACCTCAGATACAAGGCTTTTGTAGGCTTTGTTCAACGAGATAGAAAAAGGCGGTAGAAGACGATCGCAATTAGCCGCCCTGGTGAGGGCCGATGTGGCCCCCGCAAATGACAATGTTTCTGGGTACTAGATGGCGACAATAGGCCTTGTATAACCAAAAATAACCACAAATATCTACAATTTCGTAGTGTACACAAACTGTGCTCCGACAGCTCAATTCAAAATAAGAAAACGCCGCGCTTGTGAGAGCGAAAAACCTAGGTTGCCTTGACCGTCTCCCAAAAAAAAACCCCTTTACCTCTAACGTAGAATAGGGCGAAACTTTCTTCAGCCGGCCCTCAATTCTGAGCCACTGGTACCATTTAAGTAGTCCATAATACTGTCAAGGCTTTGGAACTTCCGGTTTGCAGCTTTCTTTAAAGCGTTCATACTTAGTATGAACGCTGACGTGTAAGGTCTTTATGCTATACATTCCACTATATCACCGTTGGTTTAATGTTGATAACAATTATAGTACGTCCCATGCATCTAGTTAATCCATAAATTCTTCTCATATCAATATTTTTCAACAACTTTGCTTAAATACCGGTAAACCCCACTTTACCTGGTGTAGCAGATGGATCACTGCCACGGAACACAACTGTCTCTGTTCCTCCTGCCGGTCCCCCTCCACGAATCGCTCGCTTTCGTCCACCGCCCCCGCCACCACCGCCGGCATTTTCACTTGTTGCTGAGGAATCCGTGGCCTTCAAAATTTCATGTAACTAAATTTTGCAAAAATTCAAGGTTACAAGGTCATACCTTTGGCGTAGGAACTGTCAAGGTAACGTCCAAATTTGGCTTGATCACAGAAACATCACTGAAATCAAAATTGAGTTAGCACATTGCGAAATAGACGCCAAACGTGACTTTCGATGTCTGAGGAGATCGAGCTAGAAAATTTGGTTGGTTTTGTGGAAATTTCTACCGCAACCAAGAGCAACGATGGGTTCATAACCGTCTCTACGATCGCACACGTGGAACCCTGGACTGTAGTAGTCTGCACAAACGGCAGGGAGGGAGACTGCGCAAAACCTTAGCCGCCTAACAAAGGTCATTTTCAACTTTGAGAGTAGTTTAAGGAGAAACAGCCTGTACATCAAAATTAAGTCGAAAAAAACGAACGAAAAAAAATGAAATGAGCGGCTACTTACCCAAGACTGAAACGTGGAGGAGCACCAGATGGCGTGGAAACCTTTACCGAATTATTTAGTTCATCGCATTTGGCACTTCCTTCAATTCGACGTTTTGCCTGCAAATGATTGCTACATCACGGAAATGCTGAAAAGGTTTGAATGGAAATACTGAATATTTGGAAAACGCCGTTACATGGTAAAAAGAATCCTAGGACAAAACAGACCACATACCTTGGCAATAACTCGTCCCGATGTCGATGTTGTAGGAGTTTCCTTACCCGTAGCCTTCGGAATAGGTTTTCCAGAGTACATTTCATCAAGTCGTTTCATATGTTCCAAGTAGGATTTGACAGAATTAGACTGGAAAAGTTAGCAACTACAATAGAAGATTCCAGAATGATTCCGCGATAATGTTTCAAGAACGAAATACTGTGAGAAACAAGTTTTGGGTTCTACTACTTATAGCTGCCTGTTCAGAATTCGTGGGGCTTCATACTTCGGAAAGTTCTAGGAGTTTCCAAATTACAACGCCAGCGGCCTTTTAAAACGGGCTTGAAAATGCAAACTACCCTCTGCTGCCACATCATTCTCAAATTCAGGTCTATGCCATCGAGTGGGAGCCGGGGGGGGGGGGTAGCGCATTTAAGACGGAAAACAAGAGAGGTCGACTAATGGGAACATTTTCCTTAAGGCCAACTACAACCGCTCCCTCAGGATTAGATACGACCCCTCTCGCTGGCATAAGTATCATATTCGCTCGAAGGAAGAAGACCCGGTGTGCGCGCCCCACGCATTTCACATTTTCAAGCTAAGCGGATGCGATATTCGTGTTCAAATGGTTAAACAACTTCTGAGGACAGCACACCGACCAAATCATCTACCGAAAGAAAGCTTAAGCTAAAATGTGGACTATACTCTGAAGAGTCAGGCAGAACAGGGAAATGGCCCGAGTAAAAACTGAATAAACTCAGAATGTAATGGTGGATCTTTCGAGGTTTCTCAAGGATGAACTTAATCGGCCTCAGGGTACGGCATCGTGATGTGTGAAATGGTGGTGTCAGTACGACCCCCACCTCGCGAGGGAGAGTGTCAGTACGGCCCCCCACCTAAAAGAGGGTCTCGGTACTACCTTTCACCCCTCTCCTTCCTCAACACCTACCTACCAATTTCCCACAATTCCCAGTTTTTCACCCAAGGATTTGCCGTCGAACGGGGTGGGGGGGGGTCTATTGTAATACACATGAAACAGAATAATCACGAAAAGTCAACAACCGGGAAAAATTTTTTACCCAACGCGGCAAATTCCTCTCAAAGCCACATACGACCCCCCTCTCCCAACAACGACCAAATACGACCCCCTCCCCAGGAAAAGTACGACCCCTATG